CACGCAGTAGCTGTTCCTTGAACAAGCTCCACATTTCAATTGTGCCCAGCCCCTGCAGTTTCCTTCTCCATCCTATGCATCCTAAATCTTGCCTCATCGCCTCAGAATTGCCTTTCCCCCAGCTATAACTCTTGCCCTGCGTTATATACCGATCCCTTTCCATCGCTAAAGTAAACGTAACCGAATTGTGGTCACTATCACCAAAGTGCTCACCTACCTCCAAATCTAACACCTGGCCTGGTTCATTACCCAGTACCAAATCCAATGTGGCCTCGCCTCTTGTTGGCCTATCTACATACTGTGTCAGGAAACCCTCCTGCACACATTGGACAAAAACTGACCCATCTGAAGTACTCGAACTATAGCGTTTCCAGTCAATATTTGGAAAGTTAAAGTCCCCCATAACAACTACCCTGTTACTTTCGCTCCTATCCAGAATCATCTTTGCAATCTTTTCCTCTACATCTCTGGAACTTTTCGGAGGCCTATAGAAAACTCCCAACAGGATGACCTCTCCTTTCCTGGTTCTAACCTCAGCCCATACTACCTCAGTAGACGAGTTGTCATCAAATGTCCTTTCTGCCACCGTAATACTGTCCTTGACTAACAATGCCACACCTCCCCCTCTTTTACCACCTTCCCTGATCTTACTGAAACATCTAAACCCCGGAACCTGCAACAACCATTCCTGTCCCTGCTCTATCCATGTCTCCAAAATGGCCACAACATCGAAGTCCCAGGTACCAACCCATGCTGCAAGTTCACCCACCTTATTCCGGATGCTCCTGGCATTGAAGTAGACACACTTCAAACCACCTTCCTGCCTGCCGGTACACTCCTGCGACCTTGAAACCTTATTTATGACCTCACTACTCTCAACCTCCTGTACACTGGAGCTACAATTCAGGTTCCCACGCCCCTGTTGAATTAGTTTAAACCCTCCCGAAGAGCATTAGCAAATTTCCCCCCCAGGATATTGGTACCCCTCTGGTTCAGGTGTAGACCATCCCGTTTGTAGAGGTCCCACCTACCCCAGAATGAGCCCCAATTATCCAGGTATCTGAATCCCTCCCTCCTGCACCATCCCTGTAGCCATGTGTTCAACTGCTCTCTCTCCCTATTCCTCGCCTCGCTAGCACGTGGCACGGGTGACAAACCAGAGATAACAACTCTGTTTGTTCTAGCTCTAAGCTTCCACCCTAGCTCCTTGAATTTCTGCCTTACGTCCCCATCCCTTTTCCTACCTATGTCGTTGGTGCCTATGTGGACCACGACTTGGGGCTGCTCCCCCTCCCCCTTAAGGATCCCGAAAACATGATCCGAGACATCACGGACCCTGGCACCTGGGAGGCAACACACCAACCGCGAGTCTCTCTCGCTCCCACAGAATCTCCTATCTGTCCCCCTAACTATGGAGTCCTCAATGACTAATGCTCTCCTCCTCTCCCCCCTTCCCTTCTGAGCAACAGGGACAGACTCTGTGCCAGAGACCTGTACCCCATGGCTTACCCCTGGTAATTCGTCCCCCCAACAGTATCCAAAACGGTATACTTGTTTTTGAGGGGAACGGCCACAGGGGATCCCTGCACTGTCTGCCTGTTCCCTTTCCGTCCCCTGACTGTAACCCATCTACTTTTTTCCTGTACCTAAGGTGTGACTACCTCCCCGTAACTCCTCTCAATTACCCCCTCAGCCTCCCGAATGATCCGAAGTTCATCCAGCTCCAGCTCCAGTTCCCTAACACGGTTTCCGAGGAGCTGGAGTTGGGTGCACTTCCCGCAGATGAAGTCAGTGGGGACACTAGTGGTGACCCTTACCTCCCACATTCTACAGGAGGAGCATACAACTGCCCTAACATCCATTCCCACTGTTCTGACTTCCCAAACAGACAAATTAAAAAAAAAAAAATACTAGTAGCCTTACCAAATCAGCGCTCAGAACCTTTTTTTTTTGGTTAGAGGAGGAGGATGGGTGGGAGACACTACCTCGGTAGTGTTTCGGGTAAAGCAACCGCCCAAATATATTACCTCACTTACTCACTCCGAAAATGGAGTCACGCGAGGTAAGACTTTTACAATCGAAAAAGCTCACCTTCCCAGGCTGCCCTCGCACTTCCTCCTGGACTCCCGCGGCTGAAACAACTGAAAGCCAGGTTGTCAGTGTATAATTTGAATAGTTGTGGTCCCAACATAGAATCCTTGGCAAGTCCATTAGTCACAGGCTGCCATCCTGAAGAAGTCCCCTTTATCCCTACTGTCTGCCATTTGCCAGACAGCCAATCCTCTATCCATGCCAGTACTTTCCCATAACACTATGGGCTCTTATTTAGCAGAATTCTATGTGGCACCTTGTCAAAGGCCTTATGGAAATCCAAATAGATCACATCCCACTGGCTGTCCTTTGTCAAACTTGCTCATTACCCCTTCAAAGAATTATAACAGGTTTGTCAGGCCTGACTTCCAATTGACGAAGCCACACTGACTCAGCCCTATTTTACCATGCACTTCCAAGTACTCTACAATCTCATCTTTAATAACGGACTCTAAATTCTTACCAATGACCGAGGTCAGGCTAACCGAGCTTTAGTTTCCTGGCTTCTGCCTCCCTCCCTTACTAAACAGGGTGTTACATTTGCCATTTTCCAGTCCCCTGGGACCCTCCCTGACTCCAGTGATTCCTGAAAGATCACCACAAATGCCTCTACAGGTGTAGTTCATCTGGTCCAGGTTATTTGTCCACCTTCAGACCTTTCAGCTTCCCTAGCACCTTCTCCTTAGTGATGCTCAATACACTCACCTCTGCTCCTTGACTCTCTTGAAGTTCAGGTATGCTGCTGGTGTCATCAACTGTGAAAACTGATGTAACGTACCTATTGAGCTCCTGTGTCATTTCTTTGCGTCCCATTACTAATTCTCTAGCCTCATTTTCCATTGGTCCAATTTCCACTCTTCCCTCTCTCTTACCTTTTAGGTATCTAAAAAGACCTCTTGCAATCTTCTTTTATATTACTAGCTAGCATACCCTTATATTTCATCTTTTCCTCCTTGTTGCTTTTTAGTTATCATGTGTTAGTTTTTAAAGGCCTCCCAATCCTCTGGCTTTCCACTATGTTCACCTTGTATGCATTCTCTTTTGCTTTTATGCTGTCCCTGACTTCCCTGTCATGCAAACACATATGTTAGCCTCATCCTCCCCTTAGAATGTTTCTTCATCCTTGGAATGAATTTTTGCTGAGAATTTCTCTCGAATTACCTTCAGAAATTCCTGCCATTGCTGCTGTACCATCTGCCCTGTTTTGCTCCCCTTCCAGTCAACTCTGGCCAGCTCCTCCCTCATGTCTTTTTAGTTACCTTTACTCAATTATGATACCATTATACCCGATTTCAGCTTATATCATATTATGGTCACTAGGTGTTCCTTCCCCTTGAGCTCAATCAAATCTACCTCATCACATATCACCAAATCCAGAAGTGCCTGTTCTCTTGTGGGCTGCACCACAATCTGCAAAAAAAATCTCGTAGACGTTCCACAAATTTCTTTTCTTTAGATCTGCTACCAATCTAAATTTGCCAATCCATCTGCATATCGAAGTCTTCCATGATTATTATAAAACTGCTTTTCTTACACGTCTTTTCTATCTCTTGATTTATTTTCTTCCCCACATCCTGACCACTGCTAGGAAGCATGTACAAAATTCCCATCAGAGTCTTGGCTCCTCAACTCCACCCACACAGATTCTATGCCTTCCAACTCTATTATTGATATCGATGTAATTTCATTTCTCACTAACAAGACAACGACCCCCCCCCCACAACCCCACCAATTTGCCCAACCTTTTGATAGGGCATGTATCCTTGGATATTTAGTTTATTTGGTTTCCTGCCCTGATCCCCTCGCAGCTACATGTCACGACATCGTATCCACCAATTTCAATCTGTGCTATAAGCTCATTTACCTCATTTCATATACTGCGCATATTTAAATGCAACACCCTCAGTCCTGTGGTGACTGCCTCCCTTTCTCATAGTTGTCCCCTTATTTGCTGTGTCTGAATTTAGATACCTGACCCTTTCCATACTCTCTGTCCTATTACTTGTTCTGGAAACTTTAATAACCTCTGCTGAGCTCTGGAACTCCCATCCCTTAGCTTCATCCATAACTTTCATGTAACTGAACCCACCAAATATTACCTTTACAAAATGGCTCTGTTGGAATTTCTTGATGTTTATTTACAAAGTTGTAAACATTGCATTCTAAGCTCTCATCGAGCTGAGGAGCTGCTACAATCAATCAGCCTAGAACTGGCAGAAGGAGACTTCTGGGGTTACTCTGAGGGTCCGTGCAAATAAACACCCAAATATGATTCAGTGTCAGGACAGAGAGCAGGCAGTTGGGGGCCAGGGAACAGATTTGTGATGAGAGTGAAGTAAACAATGGTGTTCAACTGAAGGAAATTGTTACTTACTCAAAATACAGGAGAAGCCGTGTGGCATCAGGGGCATTGGAAGGATTGAAAGGCGTGCGAGTTGTTTTCACAGAGAAGAAGAGAGATGAGACATGATGCTAAGTCAGGGCTACAATGTGGAGGTGCTGGTGTTGGACTGAGGTGGACAAAGTCAGAAGTCACACAACACTAGGTTGTGATTTCAAATAAACCTGTTGGACCATAACCTGGTGTCATTGTGATTTCTGACTGAGTCAGGGCTAGGGCAGGGGAAACTTGAAGGGGAGGGTATATCATTGGACGCTGAACATATGGACTCCAACTTAGTAACAAAGAAGACAGTGAGCTGCTTCCTTTTGTTGGAGGTGAAGGTGGAAAGGGGTTTATTAGGAGGAGGTTTTAAGAAGATGGCTGGTTATAAAGTGGAGCAAGGAGAGATCTGTGTTTGCATTCTGGGTGTTGCTGGTGCAGTGAGTAGTTTTGGATGACTGGAGCAAGACTCAATAATACTCGATGTGGCGATGGATGATTTAACCAATTGTCATGTACATTCAAGTCCACATGAAGGAAGGAAGGTGGAGTCCATTCTTGGAAAAGGATGAAGAGTTTGCTAGGGACAAGGTCGAGAAAGGAATCCAAGAATCCAAGGTGGAAGAGTGTTTTGAGCAGATCACTGCTGCAGAAGTATTACAACAAATGAAAACCCAGCGGCTTAGAGAAGGTGGATAAGGCCAGCATTTGTTGCCCATCCCCAAATACACTGGAACTGATTTCTGGGACTTATCACATATGTAGGCCAGACCAGGTTAAGACAGCAAATTTCCTCCCCTAAAGAACGTTAGTAAATCAAATGGTTTTTTTGTGACATTGGATGATACTTATCACTGTTACTTAAACCAACTTTCTATTCCTTGAATTGATTTTGAACCAGTGACACCAGAGCATTTGCTTTGGTCTCTCTCTTACTAGTCTAGCAACTTTACCACTACACCTCCATCTCTCATGCCATCATTCCCAGGATCGAGCACAGAAAGAAATGATAAAGAATTGAGCGTGATAAGCAGATAGGTTTGCTGAGCTGTAAGATTAACAATATAATGAAACGTTTGACAAAATAGTGTCTGGACTTAATTCTGTGTAATAGTTTCTGTATAATAACAAGGATAAAAAATGTACATAAAAGTATAATACTATCGATGCTGGAAATGTGAAATAAAAACAAAGTGCTAGCAAAACTCAGCAGGTCTGCCCGAATCTATGGAGAAAGAAACGTTATCATTTTGAGTCTGGTATCTTCAGAACTGGCTTGAAGAATTCAGATTGGTTTCAAAACATTAACTCTGTTATTCTCTCCACAGAAGCTGCCAGACCAGTTGAGTTTTGCCAACACTTTCTGTTTTTATTAAGAACAAAAAATCATCTTGTACTGCATTTCTGCCCGTCTGTTGTGCTACAGCTGGAACATGTAGTGATGGAGAAGCTGAGATAGTGCTCACTTCCATACACAGCTGGTGGGCTAGTGTATTAAATGGCAGCCACCACTCATTTACCACAGACTATAAGTCAGAGCATTGCTAAAGTTACAAAGTGCCAGCAGAAACATGAGGTGCTGTCTTTGGAACAGCTAGTGTTGATTTTAGAAGTTGCAGTACCAGTAGTAGTAGTAGCTTCTATCCATCAATCTCTGTACACTGAGAGGCAATGGCATGCCAGTTTGTATTTTATATTGATTCAGTTCACGTACAGGGCTGTAAGCTGTCTGGCCTGCATAGACAGACAATACTGATACTTTTAACAGTGTTTAACATTACTTACTCTTTAATATTTAAAATGGGAGAGTCACCCTCTGTATCTTTTCCAAAGGTTTTGTCATAAGCTTTAGTGGGGCATGCTTTCTTTGAAATGATGTCAGTGACCTTATTTATTTTGGAAGGTTTGCTAACTGAGGATAGAGTGTGGCATTGCATCTGTATATATGGTCATTCACTGAAAACACTGGTCTAGCCTCAGTGGGAGTATTGCATCCAATTCTGGGGACTGTGTTCTCGGAAGGAGGTGAAGACTCTTGAGAGGGTGCAAAGAAGATTGTCAATAACAGCTCCAGTGATAAGGGACTCCAGTTATAAGGATAGATTGCAGAAGCTGTTCTCCTTGGAGAAGATTTGATTGAGGTGTTCACAATCATACATGGCCCAGAGAGAGAGAAACTGTTCCCAATTGCAGAAGACCGTACCGATTGAAAGTGATTGTCAAAAGAACCAGTTGTAACATACGGAAAAACATATTTTACACATTACGTGGTTAAGGTCTGGAATGCATTTCCTGGAATTGTGATACAGGCAGATTCAGTTGTGAGTTTTGAAAATAAATTGGGTAAATGCTTGAACAGAGAAAACTTGAAAGGTTACAGAGGAATGGGACCAGCTGAATTGCTCTTACAGAGAGCCAAGACAGACCAAATGTGCTGAATAGCTGCCTTCTATACTGTAACCACTCCAGTGGTTTTGGCAGGCATGTCATTTTGTCACAAGTATGAAGTTTCAGGACTGTCTCTTTAATTTATGTAAGATAGAGAAATGAAGCAGACAATATGACCTGTTCTGAATTTTTCCCAACACCAAGCTTGATCCAACACAAAAACAAATTGTTGGAGAAACTCAGCAGCTCTGGCAGCAGAAAGAAAGTAGAGTTAATGTTTCAATTTCGGTGACTCTTCATCAGAACTGTTAGCAGTTGGGGGAAAAAAGTGGTATTTATACTGAAGACCAGGTTGGGGGCTTTAGTGGAGATGGAGCAGATAGGTGGAGACAGAGACCAGAGAGAGAAAGAGATATGAAAGCGTTAGATAAAATGATGATTATGGACAGAAGAACAGAACAGAAGAAAAGCTGCATAAGTGATAATAAGAGCTAAGAGTAGGAGAAAATTGGTGAGCTGTACTAAATAGGGCTTGGGTCGTGTTGTAAAATAGACAGACCTAGGGGTTCAGGTACATAATTCTTTGAAGTTTGCATCACATGTAGACAGGGTGGTTAAGAAGGCATTTAGCACACTTGCCTTCATTGGTCAGACCTTTGAGTTTGAGGGTTGGGACATCATGTTGGGGTTGTACAGGATGTAATTGAGAGGAGACCTCATCCGGAGTACCGTGCCCAGTTCTGGTTGCCCTGTTTTAGGAAGGATATTATTAAGCTGGAGAAGGTTCAGAAGAGATTTACCAGGCTGATGCTGGGAAAGGAGGGTTTGAGTTATGGGGAGAGGTTGGATAGGCTGGGACTTGATTGGTTGGATAGGCTGGTCTTAAATGCACAGTAGGACATTGAGGGGTGACTTTATAGAGGTTTATAAAATCATGAGGGGTATAGATAAGATGAATGGCAGGTGTCTTTTCCCTAGGGCAGGGGATTTTAAGACTTGGGGGCATATTTTAAGGTGAGAGGAGAAAGATTTTAGAAAGACTTGAGGAGCAATCTTTTTACACAGAGAGTAGTTCATGTGTGGAATGAACTTCCAGAGGAAGTGATGGATGTGGGTACAATTACAGCATTTAAAAGACATTTGGATAAGTACATGAATAAAAAAAGGTTTGGAGGGATATGGGCCAAGCGCAGGCAGGTGGGACTATATTAGTTTGGGATTATGTTCGGCATGGACTGGTTGGACCGAAGGGTCTGTTTCTATGCTGTATGACTTCATGGCTATATGAATGCAACCGATATAATGTGATAATGGGCCTAGAGTACATGAAAATGGGTGACTGTGCTGAAAACAATCATGTCATTACAAGAGGTAGTAGGAACTGCAGATGCTGGAGAATCTGAGATAACAAGGTGTAGAGCTGGATGAACACAGCAGGCCAAGCAGCATCACAGGAGCAGGAAGGCTGACGTTTCGGGCCTAGACCCTTCTTCTGAAGAAGG